TGGAGAAAAGCGGGAGATAACCGTTCTGGGAGTTGGTTATAGTAGGCTTAGGACTTGAGACTTGAAGTGAATGTGTTAAAAACTCGTCTGTTGTTCTCCTTTGTACCAACTATCTTTTACTTCGTCAACGGAAGTATTACTTCTACTAAAATTTTCTGGCCAAGGGCACTTTGCCAATTATCTTGTACAGGAATGCTTTTAACTTGCTTATCAAATATACAGGGGAGTCCAGCAATCTAAACGAGCCTTGACCTCTGTAAAAACCATTACTTGATAGTTGCTTCTTTTACTTTTCTTCAACAGATTTCCGTATTCGTTAGCAAATTGTTTGTCGCAAGTGATCGTCAGAAAGAGTTTTTTTTTTTTTTTTCTCTTTACAGCATTTATATAATCATATAATATTAAGTATATATGATTTAAATTTTTATAATATAAAAAATTAGATCAGTATACAATACTATGCAGTAGATTTAACAAAGTTATATATAAATTTTATTAATTTAAGTGATAAAATCTTACTCTGGGTGATAAATATAATTATTTTAAAATTATTATTTTAAATATATATTCAATAAAGAGTTATATAAAATAGCACTATAGCATTTTGGCGCATGTATATATATCACGTGATTTTATATAACAATTTATTACCATTACACAATTTATATGTGCATATTGCACGAGTTGCAAAGATAGAAGTTTAGTGTTAGTTAATAAATATTAGAGACCATTTGTTGCTTGTTATATGTAAACTTCGTTTCTGATATTTATAATTAGTGCATCAAGGTCGATTTAAACACTAGTTTTTGACTAATTTCGCTTTTTTCTTTCGCATGTGTTTGGGGCTATACTCCGATTGGCCTTTCCTTTTTAGGGCATCAGTTTACTTAAGTCGCAGCAAAATAGCAAACGATTTAAACGTATTTATACTACCAAAGTAGTAATAAATCTATCTAGAAATAGACTTTATAAAGTATTAGCCGATAAGCTTGTTATTTACTATTATGTTATAACTATCATTTCAGTTATATCGATACTGTATAAGTTAGTTATGACTTGAAATGATTAACATTAAGTTTCATACATACGTAAGTATACACACATTAATATACATCATATAATCTGAAATAAATGAAAAATGCAGTTAGCAGTAAAGTATTTTCAACATAGAAAAACCAAAAAAAATTTAAGGCTATTGCTTATCTATTATATGCGATTGAAATTGAAAATAAATTGAATTGTCACATATATGTTTGTAAAGTTAATGCTACACTTCGCCTGTCGGCTCCGCTTCGCTTATTACTCTAAACCAATGCCGGATATGCAATATTTTGAATAAAACCCTAACCCTAACATCTCAGGGTGAAATATATATCAGCCTGGTATTGAGGAAAAAAGAAAGATGAAGAGACATTGATTATATTCGAGTTAATAGTAAGTGCCCACCTATTTAAACAATATACTAATCCTAGTATTTACTTTTAGTAATTATATAGTTAATAGTTATAACATTAGTTCAACTATTAACATTTAGATATGTTCAATTAAATAAATTGTCTAAACTAGACAGACAATTAATTACAAGTATATTATTCATATAATGAATCTACATTTTATTACATTTCTTTTGATAATGACCCACTTTACCACATTTTTTGCAGTGTCTCTATTGTTTTCTCTTGATATTCGTTTCATGTGATGATTTTAAACATTTACTTCCGACTGGTCGATCTTTGCCACGTCTTACTTTTGGATTTAATAATACATGATTTTCTTTATTATCATTGCTTTCATCTTCAGATTCTTCACTTTCTTCACTTTCTTCGTTAGATTTTTCATCGCACATTTCTGTAAAATCTTGTAATAGTTCAATGAGCTGCTGTGATTTAGTTTTACTTTGTAACGCCTTTTGAATAGCTTTTTTGTATACTCCATGTAATTTTCCATAAACTATTTTTTGCTGAGATGAATTAAGGCTTTCTTCGAGAAAGTCTTGGTTACCTTGTTGAAATGCACACAGATAGTTTATAGGCATAGGCGATTTGCATTGTATCAGTATTTCATTTTCTTTGATAAACTTTTCTGCTGTAAAAAAAGGGTTCCTTGGAACTATTGAGGCCTTGATAATACCATCGAGAAGGGATAAGGCGAATATGAAATTTGGCAGTGCTGGTTGCAAGCATAATTTGAAAATAATGCCTACAAATTACGCCTTGTTGAATGATCGATAAATATGTACAAACATGTGAATGATTCCTTAATAGAACTACATAATGTTTAATAGCTGTTGTATTCCCAATTGCCACAGATCATATTTCAATAACATTAGCAAACCCTCCCACAAAATCAATAACCTGTTTCAGTGTAATTTGTTGTATTTCTACATTTGTCATATCACGAATTTCAGTTTCACAATCATCAGTATAACATTCCTATTTCAAATTTAAATATGTCAATATTATAAGACATGCATATATACGTAATGTATTTACGAACGCAATTGAATACATATACATACTTCTAAATCTTTATCTTGAAGTATAGTAGCATCGTAATAGACTGATTAGTTTATTTTGTCTCTTTGCCTTTGAAGCATTATGGGTGTAAGAAACTTCTCCAAACATTTATCTACTATTTTAAATAAGAAATTGGTATCTTCTTTATTTCTTATACAGGGAATTGAAAGCTTCCAGAAGTTATATTCTTCCTGCTGATCTTGCATATTTAAAAGGCGATGAATTTCATTCCCCAATTCACATAAAGAGACATTTGAGTTATGTAAAAGACATTTCAGACTTGCGTTAACAGATTCTACTCGTGAAGTCGCAATCATTCCATCCATGAACTTGTAGCTTATAAAGCTGTGAGCCCAATAAGCTTTAGTTCTATAAAGCACATCCAGGTAAGAATTAGCACCGGGAAAGTCTTGACGAAGATTGTTAAACCATTTTTCGAAGACTTCATTTGTAAGGCTATTTCGGCAAACATAAAATGCCTCAAGGAACTGAGAAAAAGTATCTCCAAGAATCCTTCTTAGGTGTTTATTGATATTTTGCGTTATGTGAAATGCACAATGAATTGGATATGCTTGAGGAAAAATCTGATGAATTGCAGAATCAACTGCAGGGTCAGCGTCAGTCATAATTACCGCAGGTTGTCTGTTTGTTGCCTTTAAGATTTCATTAAACACCCAGGTGTGTGATTCTAAGCTTTCATCAGGAAGTAGTGCTTGAGCAAGAACAATATTATGTCAATAATTACTAAATCCGACAAACAATGACAAAACCATACTATAACGGTTAGTTTTGTGTATTACATCGTTTAGAATGCAATTTGAAAATCTGATTCAATTTTCGACTTGCTCAGGGGTCATCCATAATAATTTTGTTAGTGAATTATCATCATCCCATCCCCTTACAATAACCCACCAAGAATTATTATTTTTTTTATTATCCAACCAATTGGATATTGAAGCTGTGTCATTCAATAACATTTCAGAAGTTGGTCTAAATTTTTAAATAATCGCATACAAATCCTTGGAATAAATAGGTTGTGAAGGATATTTTCTTTCTAAAAATTTTCTTTGAACTGTTGCTCCGAATTTACAATGTGTAGTTAGAAACTTGATATCTTCAATCATTTCAGGTGAAAACTTTTTTTTTCTTCAAAAGCAATCATTTCAACATTTAAAGGGTGGTTATGTTTGATCTTAACTTTATTAACCTGGACAATGGAATTCGGATTTTTAACTTTAGGACATGACACGTTAATAAGAAATAGACATTTGGTCTTTTTCATAGATGTATTCTTTTTTTTGATTTAGAATTATAAAAACCACTATAATCACACAAATATGTACATCATCAAATAATTTCCTCTTCACATTGCACACGATCTTTCTTTGTACGAAACCCATTTTTTTTTAACCATTCAGTAATAATAAGATCACATTCATCCCATGATAAAAAAACTTTTCCACAGAAAACGTCAGAATTTGTAACCTCATTGGAAAAAAAATTAGATTGGTCAGATCTAGCTACTTGAGTTATATTGTCATCATCATCATTTTGAAACACCTCATCTCCAGAAGACACTTCTTCAAATTCAGATTCTTTAGTCACATTAACATTAAGAAAACCTTCCTCTTCAATCATATTGCTATGACAAATGAATTAAAAAAGACAAAAAAAAAAATCAATCACTATATCGTAAACAAACTAGTGAAGTGATCAAAAAAAACAATATGCGTATCTGACTCAGGGACATGGAAATTTTTCGAAATTAATTTTTGAAATAAATCAAAATTTTTAGCCAGAATCGAAATTTTTTGAAATTTTGACTATAAAAAGTCACATGAAAATGATATTATTGGTCAATTCTCACCTCACATAATGATCGACTACAAATTAACCAATAGCAAACAGGAATACAAAAATTTTTAACATCAAAAATGCATGATAATCAGTTTAAAAAAAAAAAAAAGCATTATTTGAATTCTTTGAACCACTGAAATAATCCACTTGGATTAGAAGAAGGGAAACATCACACTGACTTCTTTAATCACCACGGCCTTTAATAAAAAAAGGCGAATCTTTAATCATTTTCTAGAAATCTACAAAATAATTAACTAGCTTATAGTCATGACTTCTAAATCATTCAAATATATCACCCTATACACCCGCTAAAAAGAGTTTCCAAACACCTTCAACATTCTTAATAATACGTTGGTGTGTATTTGCTGTGGACATTCAGTTAGTTGAGAACATAAAGTTAGTATTACATCTCATGTTAATTCAAAAACTCACAAAATAAATAAGCAAAACTATGATGCAGCGGCTCAAAATAGCCAGTTTCAAACTTTAGAAGATTCACTTTCTGTTGTAGAGTCTAAAAAAGCAATGGTAAAAGATCTTGTAGAAGCCTTTGTAAAGGTGAACATTCCATTAGAGAAAGTAAATGCACTGCGACCATTTTTTAGAAAGTACTGTAAAGAGGGAGGCTTAGTTCCACAAGCTGATACATTGAGACAGCAATATTTACCAGAAATCTATCAACAATACATTAATGAGTTAAAAGAAGACTTTTAAGACAAGCCCGTAGCTATAATTATCGATGAAACGACTGATAGCCAAGCCTGAAGTGTTGTAAATATTTTATATAATTATCGCAAAAACACTAAACTTGTAGTAGTGGACTATTTAAGCATTGTTAATAATACTACTATCGGACAGCTTATTGTTAAAACACTAACTGAATGGGCAATACCATTCGACCGTCCATGTCTTTTAGTTTCAGATTCAGCATCCTATATGAAAAAAAGCAATCGTGAAGTCTTTAAGCAAATTTTACCACAACTTGTACATTTGCCCTGTTTGGCGCATATTTTTAATCTCATTAGGTAAGAAACTTTTTAATTTAAATTATTATATTAATGATTATTGTTAGATTAATATTATATTTATAATTAGTCAAGCATAGGTGTCAATTTTGCAAATAGGTTTGATTAAAACCTTATTGGCGAATATTAAAAAAATGTTTGTATATGCGAAAGCAAGACGCACAAGGTATATCAAGTTTTTAGCAAAAAATGGTGTTAAAAAACCAACGAATATACCTCTTTATACAGATACACATTGGAACTCTTGGTTCAAAATGGCAATTTATGTGAATGACTATTATCAACATATTCGAAACTTTTTTTTAGAGGAGCATTTGAAAGATTCGAATGAAACAATTGAAACATTATCTGTATTTTTTAATGATCCGTCTAATAATGGTTATGCGCAAATTTACTTGTGTTTTATTAAGATTTATGCACAACAATTTGTTAATGATTTAAACTTTTTTCAACACGAATGTCTTCCTTTGTTTCCATATATTGAAGGACGCTTAAATCAATTAGAAAATCATATTAATAGTGGGATACAATTAGAAAATTTAGATGGGTCTTTAATTTCTTTCATTCAAAATCTTAATTTTGATCCTAAATCATTTTTACCAATATTTAGATCAACTTATGATGCTGCTTCTAAAAAATTTAACGATCATATTTTGAATCACCCTTGCCGTTCACTTTTTAAAGCAACTCAAATATTTGATCCAAAATTTATTAATCTTACTTCAGCTAAAGATATTCTTTTTTATAGTACCTCAATTTATGAATTTTCAGATCCTTCATATGAACTTATTCAAGAATGGGCTGCGTATTGTAATCTAGATCCACTTTCAGTTGAGTATTCAAATTTAGAAGAATTTTGGCAAAAAATTTCACATATTTTACCTTGTTTAAGTCAAATTGCTTTAGATTATATTTGGTTGCCGCTTTCTTCTTGTAGCGTAGAATATAGTTTTTCTGTTTATAACAATATTTTAAATGAGGATAGAGAAAATTTGAGTCAAGAATCTCTTCAAATGCTGAATATTTTGTATTACAATCGTTCAGAATTTTCAGTTTAAATCAAAATTTTCATTTTAAAATAGAATTATAAATAAATAAGTTAAAAGTCTTGCTTAATTTGGTCAAAATTTTTACTTCTAAATAGCAAAATGTATTAAAATTTTTGGCGAAATAAATCAAAATTTTTACTAAAATTGATCGAAATTTTTACTTTAAATCGAAATAATATTTCTGTGTCCCTGACCTGACTATAATACAGGTCAGCTATTAGATGTTGAACGATACAAAACGAAGTGATCAAGAAAAAAAATGCAATGCGTTAGATGTTGAATAATAAAAAACGAAGTGATCAAAAAAAAAAGTTGCAATAAATTAGTTATTGAGTGAAGTTGAACGATGTGAGTGAAGTCGAACAATACAAAGCGAAGTCGAATGATACAAAGCAAAGTCGAATGATACAAAGCAAAGTCGAATGAAGTAAAACGACAAAAAAAAAAAAGGTGCAATTAATTAGTTGTTGAATGACAAAAAGCAAAGTCGAACGATCAAAATGAAGTGATCAAAGAAA